AATTCCCTTACAATTGGAAAAAGTAATGCTATTATTGTTGTCTTCGGGTCTTCTGTTCCGCTAATGACATGTATTTTTAATGGCAGTTCTTGTGCTACGGATTCTTCCAGTGTGTCGACGCCTTTCTCTTTGTCTTCACTTTACTGCCCATTCGTTTCGCACTTTCCGTTTGGTTTCTAATCAGTAGGTCTTTCAGCAAATGGTTTTGGTATACAATTCAATGCCTTTGAAATTAGTTTAAAAGTTTTAATTGAAATGTAAAATGTGTTAAAATGTAGTTTAATAAGCGGTCAGTCGTGGCAAATGTCTGGTTCGTTGAAGCCGTTGGAAGGACTGGAACCGTCAGAAATCTGTGATCTCATGAAAGGTGTAATTGTATTGAGCGCTGTATTCCTCATGAGTTATATCGACACTTCTATGTTATATCATATCATCAAAAGCCAGTCTGTGATCAAACTCTATATATTCTTCAATATGTTAGAGGTATTTAATGCACTTATTTTAATCATTTCAATATTCATTATAATTTTAATTTAAACTTTTTTGTATTATTTCCAAAGCAATTTATTTTTTGACATTTTCTAATACTTGTCAATGAATGAGAAAATTGTTTTTAATTTTTAATTATAATAAGTATTGCAATTAAAAATTAAATTATTTGTTTCTATATTAAGATATGTTTGTCTAAAACAAAAGTAATGTTTGAAATTAGTTTTGAAAGTAATCTCATTTGAAATCAGTTTCATATCTGATTGAAATCTAGTTTCCATTTTTAGACGAGATGTGGGTTTAACTCATTGAACACACCTTTAAATTAGACGCTAATTAAGTTGAGCCTCAATTCAGTGCCAAACGAGTTATCATTTTTGCATTGAATATATTTTACATTTTAAACAAATTTTTAAAATACCTAAAAATTTGGATTAAATGAAATTGTTTATTCATTTATTCCTACAATCAATCATTGATATTGAGGTCAACATTGGATGAGATTTTTAAATTTTAATTCACAATTATTGATGAAAGAAATGTTTACATGATTTCGTTTTTATTAAAATTTTCATTTATAATCTTAATTAAAAACAAGTGTTAAAAACATTGAAATAATCAAATATATTAATCAAGTGTTGGATTCAATCATTTATTTATAAGGAAATAGTAAATAACAGAAAAACATTATCCAATGATAAATGACATTACAATGTATTACAAAACAA